CAGCTCCAGTCGATGATAACCAAAGCCAACTAGTCTATCACTAACACTGACTAGTTCTTCTTTTTCTGAAGTTCTGTTTTTATGCTTTATCACTTCAGCTGCAGAGGTTTTGGCATGCTAATTGTACTGTCAGCATAGCACATCCTCTATATGCACTGAAAAACAACGAACCCTGAGATTATCTTGTACATATTTGCATATAAATAATGCACATCCAGCCTGTTGTTACAGCAGAATAAATGCAAACACGGAGCAGAGGGGTCCTCTATCACCCTGGAGGGGGGCATTTATTCTGCGATAACTACAAGCTGGATGTATATTATCGGGCTTATTACACAGCAGCTTCCCACATAAGTAAATACTCGGATGCATAAGAATGATTATATTGACAATAGGCCAATTTTACATGACTTTAGACTTGATATTAGAGCAAAATATGCTTATATACATATATTGCACATTTGTCTATCTGCTTATTTCACACACATACACTCACCGGCCACTTTATTAGGTACACCTGTCTAACTACTCATTAACGCAGATTTCTCATCAGCCAATCCCATCGCACACGCAGCAACTCATTTAGGCATGTAGACATGGTAAGGACGATCTGCTGCAGTTCAAACCGAGCATCAGAATGGGGAAGAAAGATGATTTAAGTGACTTTGAACGTGGTGTTGTTGTTGGTGCCAGACGGGCTGGTCTGAGTATTTCAGAAACTACTGATCTTCTGGGATTTTTATGCACAACCATCTCTAGGGTTTACAGAGAATGGTCCGAAAAAGAGAAAATGTCTAGTGAGCGGCAGTTCTGTGGGCGCAAATGCCTTGTTGATGCCAGAGGTCAGAGGAGATTGGCCAGACTGGTTCTAGCTGATAGAATGTCGACGGTAACTCAACCGAGGTCTGCAGAAGAGCATCTCTGAACGCACAACATGTCCAACCTTGAGGCAGATGGGCTACAGCAGCAGAAGACCACACCGGGTGCCACTCCTGTCAGCTAAGAACAGGAAACAGAGGCTACAATTCACACAGGCTCACCAAAACTGGACAATAGAAGATTGGAGAAACGTTGCCTGGTCTGATGAGTCTCAATTTCTGCAGCCACATTCAGATGGTAGAGTCAGAATTTGGCGTCAACAACATGAAAGCATGGATCCATCCTTCCTTGTGTCAACGTTTCAAGCTGATGGTGGTGTTATGGTCTGGGGGATATTTTCTTGCCACACTTAAGTATCAACGTCAACACCATCGTGTCAACACCACAGCCTACCTGATTATTGTTGCTAACCATGTCCATCCCTTTATGACCACAGAGTACACATCTTCTGATTGCCTCTTCCAGCAGGATAACACGCCATGTTATAAAGCGCCAATAATCTGGTTTCTTGAACATGACAATGAGTTCACTGAACTCAAATGGCCTCTACAGTCACCAGAACTCAATCCAGTAGAGCATCTTTGTAATGTGGTGGAATGGGAGATTCGCATCATGGATCTGCAGCTGACAAATCTGCAGCAACTACGTGATGCAATCATGTCAATATGGACCAACATCTCTGAGGAATAATTTCAGTACCTTCTTGAATCTATGACACAAAGGATTAGGGTAGGTCTGAAAGCAAGAGTGGGTCCAACATGTTACTAGTAAGGTGTACCTAATAAAGTGGCCGGTGACTGTATGTATAATACACACCAGAATAACACCAAATTAGTTATCAGAAAAAAATTAAACACAAATCAAACTTTCACTCAAAACAACCTTATTAATAGCAAATCCTGAAAACTGATAGTAACTTTGAAGAGGCTTCTTCATTATTTTCCCAAAGCTCTATTTCAAGGTAAAAATAGTACAAAAGCATGACTGGCTCTTGCATTCCCACAGAACAATTTCTGACTCCTGAGGTGTTCTGGGAAGGGTATTTTATGTTTATTTAAATGCAACCCAAAAGTAATAATTAGAGAAGATTGTGCATAATCATTAACTCTTATTAGTTTGTCAGAAAAACCTCTTTGCAATGTCCTGTGAATGCTAGTTTGCAATTTTACCAACTTGAATATTCCAATCAACACAATCTATGGTATCGAAAGAAATACTGAGCAAACAAAAAAGCACTTGTCTCGTTGGGTTTCCAGAAGGACTGGTCTGATTTTCAAAACACATAGTTGTGTATATCCATGGTATCAAGGGAAAGGCCAGATGGGAATGTCTGAGAGGGAGCAGGGCGTCTGTAACACGGCAAACAAGATTACAGGCCGATGCAGCAGCTGAGCACTTGCTAGCTCCTGTCGAGAGGCAGAATCAGCCCAGATCTCAACCTGCTCCTTCAGGGGGACACACGTCAACAGACAAACACAAGCCTGCACTCTTGCAGGGCTGAATATTAGCCTGTGTAATGCCTCCATCGATCTGGAAGACCAGTGTTTCGGCTGATTAGAAGGGCAAGATCATCAATGACTATTTTGGGTTGGTGTGAGGCGCCACGACTGACAAATACTGGCATTTTGTGGTCCGTTTTATCCTTTCTCCAATGATATGGATCATGTTTTCAGGCTAGAGCTGGGCAGGATGATGGGATATACTAGAAGACAATGTGTCAAGCAGTGGAGGCATATAACATTTATATGGCAATCGCTATTATAAAATGCACTGCAGCAGTGTATTATTTGTCATTTTGGCTTATGTGCGTGTGTGTGTGTGTGTGTGTGTGTGTGTGTGTGTATGAACAGGAGTATAAAACCAGCCTTTTTCCTCCAATTTTTGGTCAATTCAGAAGGCTGTCAACATCCTAAAACATGCTAGTAACATATTAGCAATGAGAATAACTATGCTAGGCATGTTGTCATTGTTCTGGTAACATGCTAGCAATGTGCTAAAACATTTGAACAACGTGCCAGAACAACTAAGAAGCATGCTAGCAACATGTTAGAATATGCTAGACATAAGTCATGATAAACTTAACAAAAATTGGTATAACATGTTTTTTAGAATAATCAGTGTGTCCTGGTAAAGTGATAAACAGTCACAGGCTAGTAATTAGCTAAACATGGTAGTTTCAACATTGTATTTTTGTGCTAAAATATGCTAGGGTGACAAGATGTTAAACATTAAATCAATGTGAGCTGAAGAAGCCAGTAATGTGATAAACATTCCAGTCGCAGGCTAGTAATTAGCTAAACATGCTAGTTTTATGTTAGCTTTTTAGTCCATTTGAAATTAGTTGGACTGACCACCACTAAACATGCTATAGATATAAACATAAAATCAGTGTGTGCTTAACATGCTAGTTATAAGCTAGTAATGTGCTAAATATACTTGTCACATGCTACTTTCTTGCTAACATTTCAGTCCATTCAAAATCAGTTGGATGTTTTAAACATGCTATTTGTACGCTAAAAATGCTAGGCTAACAATGTGCTAAGTCAATGTGTGCTAAACATGCTGGCAAAGTGATCCTAGTTACCTACAAGTAATTAGCTAACATGCTAGTTCCATGTTAGCATTTTACATGCAAGGCTAACAATGTATTAAACATGAAATGTGTGCTAAGCATGCTGGCAATGTGATAAACATCCTAGTCACTGGCTAATAATTAGCTAAACATGCTAATTTCATGTTTTTTTTAGTCTGTTTGAAAAAAGTTGGTAGATATGCATTAAACATGCTATGAATGTGTTTAACATGAAATCAGTGTGTGCTAAACAAGTCGATAATATGTTAAACATGTTAGTCACAGGCTATTAATATGTTAAACATGCTAGTCACAAGTTAGCTACTTGCTAGCTTTTTTAGTCTGTTCAGAATTAGTTGGATTGGTATGCATTGAACATGCTATTAATGTGCTAAAACATGCTAGGCTAACATTGTGTTAAACATTAAATCAATGTGTGCTAAACATGCTGGTAATCTGATAAATATCCTAATCACAGGCTAGTAATTAGGTAAAAATGCTAGTTTAATATTAGCATTTTAGTCCATTCAAAATTAGTTGAATTGGTATGCATTATTAACATGCTAAAACATGCTAGCCTAACAATATGTTAAAACATAAAACCATTGTGTGCTAAACCGGTAATGTGATAAACATCCTAGTCACAAGCTAACAATGTGTTTGCTAGTCACTTGCTAGCCACATGCTAGTTGCTTGCTAGCTGTTTAGTCCACTCAAAACCAGTTGGATGCATTAAACATGCTATTAATGTGCTAAAACATGCTAGGCTAACAATGTGTTAAACCTGAAATCAATGTGTGCTGAACATGCCGGTAATGTGATAAACATCCCAATCACAGGCTTATGATTTGCTAAACTTGCTAATCACATGCTAGCTTCTTGCTGGCTTATTTAGTCCATACAAAGTAAGCCAGATTGTTATGTATTGAACCTGATTTTAATGTGCTAAACACGCCAAGGCCAACAATGTTAAACATGCTATTCAGTCGGCCATGCTAATAACATGCTAACTATGTGTTAAATTGTGCTTGCAACATACTAAAACAACAAAAGGAGGTATATGGATATGCTGGACACATGCTAGCGACTAACATGACAACATTTTAGTTCATTTAAAGTGAGTTGAAATGGTTGCATTGCTGGAGAAAACAATGCGTGGTTCACTAAAGCACATCATCTTATTGAAAGTGACACATATGTGTTTACTGTAAACAAGCTTTATACGTCCTAATGCAATAGAAGGCAGTTATAAAAGCCCTCTGCGCTTGCTTGTTCCTCTGTAGCATGTGCAGTCATGCAAGTTTAACGTCGCATTGAATGTGACAGCAAACTGTGAGCTGTTTATAAAAAATTGATGAACTAAGAAATTCTGCATGAACGTGGCTGGATATATAAAAAAAACACTTTTACAACCAGCACTGCTGATCAATTGTGTGATGTGGCATGCAAATTGCAAAAACTGTTTGCTCTGGGAAAATTCTCATGCATGTAAAATGAGAAAAGCTGAAAATTGCGACTGTGTGTGGTTCACTCAATCCGTGGTCTTTACCTGTGAGTTTCTCCAGCTCCACCAGCGTGTCCTGGTACTCCTTGATGATCTGTTCGTAGCGAGAGATCACGTCTTTCCGCAGGTTGTGCCAGTGTGGTGAAAGCTCTCCCAGATCCTTCAGCTCCTGTATCCTACAGTACATACAAACACAAATCAATCATTGTTACGTTGGAATGACTTGCTGAATTCCCCTATCAGACATCCAAACCCACCCAATTTAAGCTTGCTGTGAGGGGGGTGAAAACTTTTACACAATAACTCATACAGAGCATTCGAACCAATCCAGGCTCATTATGAATATATACCCCTTTATACATTTCTGGAGATCACAAAATACATCCCAGGAGGTGTGTTTTTTTTTTGCAGTTTTTGTATCTGCAAATCCACCAGAGGGCACTGTGTACATTTTTTTAGATCTCAAATTTCTTTCGCAAGTACCATTCATGCCTGCTGTTCTCATGTAAATCCACCAGAGGCTGCTGTCAACTGACTGACTGGTCGACCGATACCCCCGCCCACCTCCTTCCCTAAACCAATCAGATGGTGTTTTCAAAATCAATCCAGATAAACAAAAGCCCTTGTCTGATTTTTACCACGTTTTCAGATCTTACCACGTTCTCACCCTGTTATTTACTTGTTTATTTTATTTTTTGCCTTTTGTTTTTCATGCTTTATGGAACTGCCCTTCCCTGTATTGGAACCCCGTCATTGCAGACAACTCATCTCAAGTCTGCTGACGTACATGGCGTGCCACTGGGGAAACTGGTAACATCGGGAAAGCTGTCCACACGGAGATATGCTGTCAGCTGGTAGCGCAGAAAATAATCAGAAGCCGTCGGTGAAGTCATACCACCCCCATAGCATTCATTTTAATGACGAAATGCAGCCATACGTAGCTCTGGTAACATAGCCTGCGAACTCCAGAAATGTATACGGGGAACGTTTTCAGAATGAGCTTGTATTGAAGAAAACCAATAAGAAATATATACTGGAAACGTGTTACAGGCTAAAACATATTAGCCACATTTCCAATGTCTACTAAAACATCTAGCATGTTAATCCATATTAGCAGCATGTTACCACAATGTGTAGAACGATGTGTTAAAAGGTGATCAAATGCCAAATGAGATTAGGTACACCAGTGATGTGGTAAAACTGTTAGTTACATGCAAGCAACATGCTAAACATGACCAAATACATTAGAAAGAAGCTAAAACATGCTAGCAAATTAAAGCTAGCACTGTTATAAAAGCAACATGCTAAAATTCTCTAGAAACGTGCAAGTAAAGTCTAACAAAATACTAGTAATGTGATAGAAAAAACACGCTTAAACACTGTAATAGTTAAACAATGTATTAAAACAACATGCTATGCTATAATAATGCAAATAATGTAATAAACTTGTTAGAAATACATTAAAATACATTTAAAAAGCAGGTAACATATTTAACATGCTAGCAATATGCTAAAACATAATAGCAATGTGTTGAACGACTTTTCTTTCAACTTCTCTGAGTGAAGCTTTTCAACTTTTCAAAGCTACAAAAGGTTACTTTAAACTTTCAGACGAGGTTTTGACAAGCCAACATCAAAGTTTGTCATCAAGCTTTACTCATCAACTTATTAGCCTACTGTTTCCTCTCAACATACAACATTCAAAAGCCCGAGAGCCCTATAGCGAACCTCTACTTTGCATTGGAAATGCAAATTTTTCATAATGACAGCTGGAGCAGACATGATCAAAACCTGACGATCATGTTCTGCAGCACCATTTCAGATGTCGAGCATTTTAAACATCAATGGAAGCAAGAACGGCTGAATTAATGGCATATTTTAGATTTTCAAAAGCATTTGACACTCTGGCTGAACATTTTTTTCCCACTGTGACTTTAAGGCTTCTGTGAAAACATGTGAAATGAGCACTTTGCGGCAGTAACTTGTGATCTGCAGGTTCACTGTCGGGTCTGATGCAGCTTGCTTTATCCATCAATAACAACAACAACAAATCTGCTGTCTAAAACCTGCACTGCGCTCAGATCAATTCATCAAACACCCGGTGCTCTCCAATATATACTCTTCAAAATACTAAGACTTGACTCAACCGATGAGGGATATTGTTAAAAAAATAAGCTTTACCTCAACTTTACAAGCATTTCTGACATCCAGTAAGTACAAAACGAGCTGTTTAGCTGTGTGTTTTCTACTGCTTTATTTTTATTTTTTACCATGGAGGAAGTTTTGAACTGGGAATGTGATATGTTTTCTCAGAAGTCAAGAAATATGGACTAAAAGTCAAAAAACTCTTTGTTTCTGAATTTCTAAAACTTTCAAACTGAACCACGGGCTATTTCTGCAACCAAATTCACTCATTGATCTCATTGACAGCATTTATGCATTGGTGTCCACTTTATTTGTGTCATAGATAAAGACGGGAACCAGAGATGGACGTATGATCACAGTTTATCGAATAGGATGGCAGGGTGTGGACAGAACTCAATGGAGATGCTTTGTAGGATGGAAGCCAGACACACAGATAGACAAACTCTGGGAATCGACAACAACCAGAGGAGGGACCATGAGAAACCACATTAGGAGGGTGAGATGCAGACACTGGAGATCATAGGAAACCGAGACAGGTAAATAGAGTAGAAATCTACCGTGAGGAGAGTGCAGTCCTTCTAGTTAGCAACGAGACTGAACAGTGAGTGACGGATGGTGAGGGACTTTATGGTGCTGGAGTGATGATAGGAAATGATGTGCAGGTGTGTGACTGATTAATACTCAGGTGACTGTGATCATGATGATGGTGGTGACTGAGTGAGGGGAGAACCTGGTCTGGCTGTGACAATATCCCATGCGGAACACTTTTTTTTTTTTTTGCTCGACTCATATGTTTGCATTCAAAGATGCGCAAGCAAAACTAAAATATCACATAAAACATTAAAGTCTGTGTGAACGAGATTATTTCAGTACGTTGATGTACTTTCAACTGAAATGGAAAATTTAGTAGGGCTTACATTTCGCATATCATTCCTTCATAGCAAACTAACGGTAAGAGAGTGTATGGAAACCCTTGGGTCGACATCAGCAAATGGACTGTCACTTCAAATGCAGAAGCAAATGATCAGACAATCATTGAAGATTACCAAAAGAAAGTAATACTAATAATATAATACTAATACTGAACCACTGTGAAGACAGACTTTGGCTGAGGGTTTTCAAAAAGACCAAAAACAACATTTCAGATGTTTCACAATATTTTTGCTCTGGTGGTTTGACCATTAATAACAATAATAATAATAATAATAATAATAATAATTATTATTATTATTATTATTATTATTATAATTCCTTAATTAGCGCTTTTCTAGACACTTAAGTAACTTTACCAACCCAGGCTCATTCTAAAAACTTAGTCCCGTGGATGTTTCTGAATACTTTTTGCAGTTTTTGTTTTCGCGAATCCACGAGAGGCCGCTGTGTGCACTTTTTTGTATCTTAAATGTCTCCCGCGAGTGCCGTTCACGCCAGCCCTGTTGAACGGCCGACTGTCTAACTGACTGAATGATTGACTGGGCAACCGGCCAATTGGCTGAATTCTGGACTCACATAGACCGCAGGTTTGAGCGCCCCCTGCTGGCCCCACTAACACCACGTCCGGCAGCAGCTTAGGTTTCCCATGTGTTCTCCCATCCAGGTACAGCCCTGCATAGCTTCAGAGGGCGACCATGTGAGAAGTGCAGAAAGCTAGCTGCCGGCTAATCAATGCAGTCCCATTTAACCCATTTTTGGCTTATTTGATGCACATTGCTGGAATTTATTCTGTAAATGTGTTTTCATCATAGTTTCTGCACATTTTTCTTATTGGATAAAAAGTTTGTCCTCAGTTGTGTGCATGTTTTTATTGCCCTTTGCCCTTCCAGCCACAACCCATTACCGGTAAACACCCATACACACTCATTTTCTCTCTCTCTCTCTCTCTTACACACACACAGACACACACACACACACACACACACACACACACACACACACACACACACACACGCGCGCGCACACACACACACTCATAATTCCAATTTAGTTTATTCAATTCCCCTACAGCGCAAGTGTTTGGACTGTGGGGGAAACCGGAGCACCCGGAGAAAACCCACGATAACACAGGGAGAACATACAAACTCCACACAGAAATGCCAACTGGCCCAGCTGGGACTTGAACCAGAGGCCTTTGTGCTGTCAGGCGACAGTGCTAACCACTGAGCCATCGTGCAGCTCTATCTTGCTTCTATTAAGAATATTTTTGTCCAACAAAAAATAGGTGGATGGAAACATGGCTGCGGTGTGCTGGAGTGATGGCTGGTGTTTTTCATGTTGTCATACTGTATGAGGGCTGCCTCTTCACCAGCTTTACATTGGTAACGGGCTCTTATCTCTCCTTGCAGACTAACAGAGCCAAGTCTCGTTAATAAAGGCTCAGGAATCTTTAATTGTGGAGGGACTTTCCAAAGGGAACAATGATTAATTTTCATGTAAATTCAAAGCCTCTGTGATACTTTAATAATAATTTCAGCAATGTGATTAGCATCTCCAAAAGAAGGCAAAGGTGACAAGAGCTGGAGAAAAGGAAAGGAGCGAGTGAAAAGGGAGATTAGTACTCAACTTTGTTCAAGATAAGAGCAGGTTCAAATGTGTTTTAAATAATCCAAAATGCTTTCTAAAAGCCAAGTTGTGCCTGTTTTGTGCGAAAAAGCATCACCAAGCACAAAATAATGAATGCTTTTCTAAAGAGATTAGTCTTGTTCAGAGTAATTGCTTTTAATGTGCATAATTGCAGGTTATTTCTTTATTAATATTTTTAATTAATATTTATATTCATCAAGAAAGTATTAAAATGATCAAAAGTGACAATAGAGACATTTATAATGGTAACAGAGATTTTTATAATAAATAAATGCTGCTCTTTTGAACTTTTAATTCATCAGAAAACCTGAAAATATATTCCAGTTTCCAGAAATGATGGGGAAGCGCAGCTATTTCAAACCGGATAATGATATGTATTTAAACACCAGGTCAAGTTATTAGATCTGAGAAGATTGCATGAGGAATAAAAGACATTTATTACAAAAGAAAA